CTCACCTTTATACAACACTCTGTGTATGGAGTGTGGAGATAATACTTCATGACTATGTGTTTATCATGCACGTTGAACGTTCCGCTATACGTTCGTACGAAAATTTATAAGAAATGTGAATTTAAACTAAATGACGTCACATTAATAGACCATATCACGAAAATGGGACGGGTTTCTAGTTTATAATAATTAATGTAGAAAATATGAAAATAAGAAAAAAACTTAGAATTATTAAATAAAACTGTACCAGTCTTGAATCTTTTATCTGTAGTATTAATTATCCTTAATAGACGAGAATGTTTGACTTTATATATAGTGTTACGAGCTTAGGATTCGTGACAATAAAAACTGCCGATTGAATAACCAAAATTAATACTTTATTTTCCGAACACCAACTAAAACTTAAAACACACTAATAATTAATCGCAATGATCACTTTAGTTCACTTTATTTCGCTCCGAAGCCTCGCTTGCCCCGATCGCAGCTTGCAGCGGCTTTAAATACACCTTTTACACCGAATACTTCAGAATATTTCAGTAAATACGGGCGCCGACCGACCAGGCGCAGAAAATTTCTAGTGTGGGGCTTCTAGAAAGCTTAATTCTTCTGTTCGATACTAGATGGCGCTGTTGGTTGAAAGTTCAAGATTGACTTTTCTAGGAAACCCTCCTCGCTCTGGTCCCCGACACTAGATGGCGCTAGTGCCAGGTGCCAGACGTTAATTTAGGCGCGCAACACTGCCCGCTCCTAAGACATGTTCGCCCCGAGTATTGTCGGCCCCATAATAACGCGCCAGGCAATCCACATGGACGATCTTAGGAGTCCCTCTTGCGCCTTTCTGTATCCGGTAAGTTACATCGTTGATCCTGGTCACAATCCGCTACGGGCTGTTCCATTTAGCTTGAAGCTTAGGAGATTTCCCTTTGCTGCGGACTGGATTGGGCAATCACACTAGTGAACCTTCGTCGAACCCTTTGTTGTTCATTTTGCGGTCATACCGGGTTTTCATCTTTTCGGATATTTGCTGGCCCGATTGTCTGACGTGCTCATAAATGTCATTCATTTTGTTCCGCAAGTCATTTGCATAGTCGGTTATACTGCGTGGGGCATCAGGTGGTATCCCGGTGATCAGGTCTGCAGGCAGCCGTTATTCTCTTCCAAAGTTTGCGAAAGCTGGTGTCACTGATATACTTTCGTGAACAGCGCTTCGATATGACAACAAAAACGGTTGTATGTGCTTGTCCCAATCTCGTTGCCGATTGTCTACAACTTTTGCTAGGTACCTCTCCAATGTCTGATTAAATCGTTCTAACATTCCATCAGATTGCGGGTGATAGGAAGTCGTTCTTGTTTTATGAGTACCCATAACTCGGCAAGTTTCCTGGAATATTTGAGACTCAAAATTCCTGCCTTGATCGCTGTGAATCTCTAAAGGTACTCCAAAACGACAGAAGACTTCATGAACTAGTTTATCTGCAACTGTTGAAGCTTCTTGATTTGGAATGGCGAAGACTTCTGGCCACTTGGTGAAGTAATCCATCACAACCATTAAATACTTGTTACCGCTTTCACTCTTCGGAAACGGTCCTGCCACGTCAATGGCTATTCTCTCCCATGGTCCACCAACATTGTACGATTTCAATGCACCTCTACTACGAGTCTGAGGTCCCTTTATAGCCGCACAACTTGTACATTTGCGACACCAGTCCTTAACATTGTTTCGACAGTGGACCCAGTAAAACCGTTCCCTGATCTTCAGTAGAGCTCATTTAACTCCCAGATGGCCTCCTGAACAATCACTATGGTACAGCTGTAGAACATCCGGTACTTTAGCTTTAGGGACAACCATTTGCAAATGACAGCTGTCTCCCCGAAAATTTTCCCATTTACGGCACAGAACTCCACCCTGAAGCAGCAAGCTGTCCCATTGGGCCCAATAATTTTTAGTGGTTGAACTCATCGCTGAGACGTCGCTCCACTTGCGCTTGGGAGCACTGGCCTTCATCCATTCCAGAATCGGCTTGATGTCCTGATCTTCATGCTGTGCATGTTTTAAGCTGTCCTTCCTCACTCGTTGCTGAGGTGGTCTGTCCTGAGCATCCTCACGGATACCATTTCCTTACACTCTTGCCTAGTAATATTATCGCAATCATCAGGATAAGGTCTTCTTAACAATGCATCTGTGTTGCCACGGCATTTCCCGCTACAGTGTCTGATAGTAAAGTCATATTCCTGCTGCTGCTGGGCGGTGCTGTTAGCCGCACTACCCTTTCGAGATCGATCACCCTCCCTTTTTACAGATCGCTTAGGGCAACTGGGTCGAAGATGGACCCTTTCCCCACAGCCAAAGCACTATGGGCTGTAACTTTTATTGTGGTCGCGAACTGTAGATGCCACAATCTCACTAACGTGAGGAGAACGATGGTCCTGTCGCTGCTGGGCGGTGCCGTTAGCCACACTTCTCCCTCGAGATCAATCACCTTCCTTTTCTACAGTTCGCTTAGCGCAGCTGGATCGAAGATAGCCCCTTTCTCCACAGCCATAGCACTTAGGGCTATATGGACTTATATCCATTATTGAGGTCGCGAACTGCAGCTGCCGCAACCTCCCTGACGCGATGGGAACGATGATCCTGCTTCCTATCCTGCGGCTTCAACCTCAAGTGTATAGGCCAAGGCATCCTTAAGCGTCTTGTGGTGCCCGAGCCTTATAGCAGCTCTGACTTCAAGGTCGCGGATGCCATCGATGAATATCTGCACCAGGTTCCCTTCAATGAGCGCAGGTACAGACCGGTATGCTTTTCGCCCCAGCTTCTCCACCTCTAGAGCCCACTGCTGCAGGTTTTCGTTGATGCACTGGACGCGATCTTTAAGCTGCGCACGAAAGACGTGTTCCAAGTGAGTGTTACCATATCTCGCCTCAAATGCCTCAAGGAGCTGCTCATAAGTCACTTCCTCACTGAGAGCTTCCAGAACTGTTAAGGTCTGGTCACGCAGGCCTATTGTGAGAGCAGTCGTGGCCTGACTTTTATTCCAGCCATTCGCCTTCATAACGGCTTCGAACTGGATTTTGTAAGCCGACCAGGAAGAAGTCCCGTCGAAGTCGTTTCCCGAAGGTATCGTGGATGTCCTTCATGAGGAGCATCTGCTCTTCCTTATCGCGTTTGAGCTGCTCTTCCAAATAACGGACCTGTTCCTCCTGTCGGCGGGCCTGTTCCTCTTAACCACCCCGCAGCTGCTCTTCCAATCGGCGTGTCTGTTCCGCCTGCTGGCGAGCCTGTTCCTTCTGGCGGCAAACCTGCTCCTGCAGCATCACCATCAGAGCACCTAAGTCAGGTGCTGCAAATGTAGGAGCTACTGACGGGCCTGCAGCCGGCGGCTGGCCCTCCAACGTCTGCGGCGTTGCACCACCAAATCTTTTTTGGTCCGTCTCCTGCTGGCGTTGACTTCGGGTACGGACACCCAACGTTTCCTCTTTAGGTAAAATCGGCATGATTTTATCCTACTTCTGACACCAATTATTACGAGCTTAGGGTTCGTGACAATAAAAACTGCCGATTGAATTACCAAAATTTACACTTTTATTAGCGAACACCAATTAAAACTTAAAACACTAATAATTAATCACACTGATTCACTTTATTTCGCTCCGAAGCTTTGCTTGTCTTGCCAAATTCAATACTGCCCCGATCGCGTATTGCAGCGTCTTTAAATACACCTTTTCACCGAATAATCCAGAATATTCCAGTAAATACGGGCGCCGACCGACCAGGCACAGAAAGTTCGAGTGTGGGGCTTCTGGAAAGCTTAATTCTTCTGTTCGATATTAGATAGCGCTGTTGGTGGAAAGTTCAAGATTGACATTTTATAGGAAGCCCTCCTCGCTCTGATCCCCGACACTAAATGGCGCTAGTGCCAGGTGCCAGACGTCAACTTAGGCGCGCAACAATAGGTTTATGGACGTGAAAAAGGCGTAAAAAAAGGTGTCAGGATCGTACTAAATAGAAGTCCTTAGTATCTGCCTACCCCTTTTGGGTGACAGACGTGTTTATTTAATAAGGGTCTTGAAATTTTGTTTCTTAATATATTTTCAAGGCATTTAGTATTAATCTGAGAAACTTCTTGCTTTAAGCAATTATTCTACTGAACGTTGTTTTATCAAAATTTTTCTTATTTACTTTTTTATTTATTCTTTACTCCGGACTAAATGACCTACTTTGACCTACTTTGGATTTTTAACATGGTCGTTTTAGTTATAAAATATAAACCACAACATTTTCTAAGTATTTTTGATTTAATAGTTTTATTATTAAATCAAAAATAAAAACCTTCTTGATTTCAATAATGATTGTTTCATAAATGACCCGTATTCATATTACACATAATAGATGTCGCTAGAAGTGACGTAAGACGAAAGAAGCAATTTTCAAAACCATAAATAATTTTAAACGTAAACTGAAAAAGTCTTACAAGCTTACATATTCCCTATAAAAATAAAACGATATTTTAAAAACTATACAAAAAATATTCGCCTTGAATAAGTTGCTAAATATAATATATAGAAGTGATTTTTGTTACTAATGAAAAAAATTAAGAATATTCATAATACCTAAATAAAGAATGTTTAATGCAAACTTAAAGAAATATCTTACTTAGATTACCAATCCCTAATCTGAGAGAAATATTGTAATTTTATTACTGTCTCTTCCATAAACACAAAGTTTTTGACATTCTTTTTTGTAGAATACCCACTGTTTCATTTTAATAGTAATATTTACAGTTCCTTTTAAGTGCATTTTTAAGCATTGACGAAAGTTATTGTTACTTGATATTTCATATTTGTGGTAAATTTGTGTTGGAATAAGGGTGAAAAAACTGATTATTATTAGCAGTGAGATTCGCAAAAATCAAAAGTTAAAGTAAGTTATTGTCTTAACTGTTTTTGTTAATTGGATAGATAGCAAACTAGTGTTTGTAATATGATTTTAGGAATGTTAAAATATGGCACTAAATTCACAATCAAATAATCACGAAACCACATCAAAAACAATAAACAAAAGAGAAAAGAAAAATAGCCAGAACCGATATTCAATAGAATTAAAAAATAAAAATAAAACAATAAAGATATTAGAAAGGAAAAGAGAAAGAAAGCAAATAAAATCATTGGATATAAATAGAAAATTAACAACGTTTCAGTCTTTAAATTGGCCTCCTAAACAAGTATATTATAATAAGGAACAACATTTCAGTAACTCGTATTTACTATATTACGATTACATGTCTACATATGCTGCGACAATGGCAGCTTACTGTCCTCTACATATGACTCAACCGACTTACACATTTCCAATAATCATTACTGAATGGAGTCCCATAGTATGTTGTAATACACCTGTTTATACAGCACCCGTGCAAGTACCTTATACTTTCATCAATTCATCTGTAGTACCAACTCAGATATGTCCCTATACGGGTGCTGTTGTAGCAGAGCCCTTAGTTGTACCAGTAATTGCCCAGACATTAGTGCCTGAACCATTAATGCCAGAAACTTACGAACAGCTTCTGAGTTATCCACCGGAACTCATTACGTCTACGCCCATTAATGTTTTAGATGATCAAATGAACTACAACTTACTTCACGACAGTAATATGGCAGATGTTACGAGGTTTGATCCAATAGACATGTCAAGTCATACAGAGGATCCACTCCAAATTTACTTAAATCTACCTAAGGAGCTATTTCCAACAGCAAGAATGCTGGCTATTGATGCAAATCCGATTATAGACGAATTTTGTAAACTGACAAGCATATTCGATCATGCCGCTTGGATACTGGACTTGGAGTTCGGAATACCTAGATTACCAATCACCCGAGACATTCCAATATATGATTTTCAATTTAATAGTATACACTGTAAGAACACACCAAATGCAATACATCCGGGTTTTGATAGCTGCGACGAGGATTTTAAACGTGTATTACTTTTTTATTACGACTGTATTGTATCTGCATGGTACAGAGGTTACGTCATTTTCAATAACGATAGCTCAGTTGAAAATTTTCAAGCGTGGTTACTACTGGCAATGCAGTTTTTTGGTATGTGTTGGCCATGATACGCATGATAGAATTAATGGGAAAAAAATTATATTTTGTAATTATAGTGATATGTTAATGTTAATATACAAACATCTGTAAATAATTTTCATTATCATTTTTGGGTTGTTTTTATTGTATTTTTGCTTGAAATAATGCTTGAATAAATTTTATACAAATGTGTATTTTCTGACATAATAATTTCATTGTTTTCTCATAGTCTCCAAGTTTAGACTGCGATTTCACTTAAACTATACACATTCTTTTGAATAATCAGTAGTATAAGATGCTTAACAATTCGATGATCCATCCCCCTGTGAAGAATGTCAATTATGGCGAATCTTCCTTAATGTGAGAAATTAACAACCTTATAAAAAAGAAAGATCCAGTCCATGGAGTATAAAGTTGAAGTTTAAGATTTTAAGGCAATGAAATGTCCGCCACGCTACCTGCATGCGTGTTTGTGAACTTGTCTAGTTAACATGTCTTTGAAAAAAAAAATTCTTCTCAGACATGCAGGTTTTTTCACCATGTCTTACTTCACCGCCGAGCACGTGGTAAATCGCACTTAAAATTGCAATTAACAATTTCATTGGTACTAGCAGGGATTGAACTCGGCTCGTGTACTGTGAAATTTACAGCAAGCACTTAGCCCCTGACCACGACGCATGAAATTCCATGATGTAAGTAAACAAACAATATATAACGTATATGAAGAAAAAACGGACAAAAATTCTAAATCATAACTCTCGTATCAATACAGCATATATTATCAACGTAATATTTTGAAAATAATGCTTAAGTTAAATCATCAGAATTCAAATAAAATTTCTCATCAAGCAGTGAGAAACTAATTGCAAAAGTCATTAGGGAATCAACTTTTTACGTCCAAATGTTCATGCAATTTCTAACATTCAACCTTATCACCATAATGGCCAACCGGAATTCCTGAAACAGGGAATTCGGGTCATGCGTTTGAATCAAATTCACGGACCGCAGGTATTCACGCAATGAATAATTTGATTCGCTAATTACGGCTTCCTTTGAATCGTGTTGTATTAATTAGAGATAGAACACATTTTCTCAAAATGTGTTTACTATTTGCTGAAAGGTAAATGTGAAACGAAAAGTGATCATTTTACTAATTAGACACAGAGAAGGTTTAAAGCACTTACTTACATAAATAAATATGTCATGGGCAGTATTTGAAAAACATGTTCATATCAACATATCAACACATTTTTGTTGCATAGCGTGTTATAACGAAGGTCATCGTTTATATGTTTATACTGTTGAGTTGAGTGGTTTATTACATTTTATATTATTTAATACACTTAGTTGTTAATGTATCAATGTAATACAATAGTCGCCTTTTACTAATTTTTCATCTAGATGAGTCAATCCCAGGCGAAATTTCTTTGACCGAAGCTGCAGCAAAATTAATATTTCTTAATGAGTTATGTAAAACCGCAGTAAAATCAGAGTGACCGACATAGCCCAACGGATTAGTAAGCTGATGTGGCAATAGGCCGGCCATATAGCTCGAAGAACCGATAACCGATGGGGAAGAAAGGTTCTCGAGTGGCAGCCTCGTACCGGTAGGCGTAGTGTAGGGCGACCCCCCACTAGATGGAGTGACGACCTGGTAAGACATGGAGGAAGTCGATGAATGCAGGTGACTCAGGACCGTGCTTTGTGGCATTACTTGGGGGGAGGCCTATGTACCCAGGAGAAGCCTGTTAACACGCACCTTGAAGAGGTTCAGGTTATAGCCACTTGAAAAAACAGACGCTGGTAGGACATTTCACTCCTTGGCTGTTCACATTATGAAAGATGATTTATAGCGCTTAGTGCCAATATTCGGAATATCAACCAAGAGTCGATGGTACCCTTCAGTACATCTGGTACTCTGATAGGAGAAAGGAGATGGCGGTATGAGCTTATGAAGTTCATGGGCACACTCTCCGAAGTACAATCTGTAGAAGACCGACAAACGAGCAACATGGAGGCGTTGAGCTAAGCTGTAAAGCTTTGTGTTCACAAGCTTTTTGTCGCCGATAAGCTTCTTGGCTATGCGTTACACTGAGTCCAGTGCGGCAAATTGATATTTTGCTGAGCCATCCCAAATATATATAATATATAATGCCTCAGGCATTAAGTCCGCCCATATATATCTAATGTGTATATGAAGTTAAATAAATAAATAATATAAAGATAGAAGCTGTCCAGGTTTATAGTATCGCTTCACCTTGTTTAACCCGTTGAACGCCACGCAAAAAATCGAGACTTTCCGTTCGGGCCATGGGGGTCACCGGTGAGCCTTACCTAGTTGTTCCATTCAGGCCACGGGAGTCACCGGTGAGGCACGCAAGAGGTTCACTGTAAACGGGTCTCACAAGCCACAGATTGCAGTTATTAAACAAAACACATATGGAAGTGAGCCGCGTGGGCCCCGGACTGCTCCAGTCGACGTGATTTTCAAATCCCATAGAAACTTGTAGTTGTAGGTAAAGTCCTAAATACGGTATTAGTGATGTGCCTTATTTTTTTGTTTGTATAAATAGCGCGAATAAAGCCAAAGGAAAATAATTATACGTTTATTACATTAAAAATAACTAAAAAAAATGAAATCATAAGTTAATCGAACTTAACATAGTACTTCTTTTACAACAAAATCAACTTAAAATAATTAAATTCTTCATAAACAGAACATAATAATGACGCTTCTTCTGCGATTAAAATTAAACTATATAAATCATCATTAAATGTGACTTATAATGACACTTATTTTTAGAATCAAATTAAAAATCAACATTATTATAAAAACAACATTATGAATGGATTCTGTTGAAACAAGGTAAGCAAGGAGAAGGTTGGTCTGGACATTTTTGGCAATATGTTAATACCTTTAGTAGTAGTTTTGGATTTAGATTGTTTGTTTACCCATGATTGGTACGTTGTCTGCGTAACCTTAGCAACATGTTCTTCTGACGGTTCTTGCCAAGCCCTCTTTCTTTTCCAGAGTATGTTTCTTTCTTCTCGGTCATTCACTATATCATCACCATCACCTTCTTATTTGACCAATTAAATTCCACGCTATTTGCTTCCGACTCAGATCTATATTTCTGGCTATAAGCGTTCTTCCTCGGTGGCAACTCCATTTAAAATGTTCACGAAACAAACAAAACTGAGCAAAAACACTTACACGAAACTAACGTGGGAAAAATAAGTTCTTCTCAGGTACTAAAGCTTAGATGATTAATATAATGAAAAGCAAAATAGCTACATGCCATAATGCAAAAGGCAGGTAAAATAATTAATGCGTCAGCAACATTTTGGTAGGAGTATGTCCGAACGATCACGAACGATAGACTCGCTAGTGTTTTTATCACACTGTGCTGCCAACTTATATCAAACTTTCCGCCAGATTCCACTAGATATTTTTTAGCGATTAGATATTTAAAAAAAAGTGCTAAAGACCCTAGAACTGCACTAGATCTAGCGCCAAATGCGCTAAAACGGCAACACTGATGAGAGATGCGTGGTGAGCCCCCGCTTACCGAATTTCTGTAAACCTTCCTAGGAGGCTACGCGGCCCACCGGTGAGCCTCTTGCTATATCTCTTAAACTAGTCCATAGATTTTGCCTATTTTTGTTTTCTACGCATATCATTGCATTTACCAAACTTTTATCGGATTACGTGAATTTAACTTGGCCCCAATGGAAAGTCATGATAGGCCCACCGGTGGGCCGCGCGGCGTTCAACGGGTTAAAATACTCAGTTTTTGACCCCAGTTAGTGCTTTCGACTCAAATTTAGTGACAAAGTTTAGGTTAGCACTTAAACTTTGTCGCTAAATTTGAGTCGCCGAAAGCCGAAATCCGAATCCGAAAGCCGAAGAAAGCCTCGAGATGATCAGTAACCTCCACAGATGTATCTCCGAAAGAAGGAGTTAGATGAATCGGACTCTATTATGCGGAATTTGTACGTAATCTGCCGCTATGTTATCGTATTAACACGAATAGGTCGGCTCGACCGGGGTAGGACCACACTCTCACATAGTACCAGCGTAAAATGGCGGCTTAATGCTGCTGTACTCGTATTTCGTATGGTGAGTGTAGAGAACAGAGACCATTTTACTGAAAAAGAGGCATATCATCTTAGTCCTCAGAGGTGACAACGCATCTACATTTTGAATCTTAATCTAGAGTTAATGTTAATTCTAAAGTTAAAGTTAATGTAAATAACTGTGGGCTTCTCTAGTATCCATACATTAAAGTATTAGGTGAACTGTATGCTCATTCGTCACCCAACGTTCTGTAAAAAAAATCTTCAAGTAAGGCGACAACTCATTATATGAAATACCTGATGAAACATGAAGGGAATTGATGAATGTAGATAAGAATGTAGAGTAGATGAGAATAGTAACTATATTATGTATATAATATAAATTCGTCAGTAGTAGACTTGTGATATACCTGTTGTGTAGACTTTAATCATGAATAAATAAACGAGAATATCATATCTCTTGATTCAAGTTCTGATTGTATCACGATTTCCAATAGCAGGTGTTAAGCAATCCAAGCATGTCAGATAACGCGAGGTTGTAAAAAAAGACCAAGTAACTCCTTTCGTTTTTTAATTATTTAACAATATATTTATGTGCAAACGAACAATAATAGGGTCAACGTTATCATAAACTATTCATTCAAACAAAATTATAATAGAATATACATAGCAATAAACATCACTTTATTAAACATTAATTACATACTAAATGCTAGTAATGTCTCAACAGTGTGATTTGGTAATTGATTTCACATTATTGTTAACATCAAAACTTAGTTAATTTTTCTTATATTATTTTCACATTAGCGCTAAAATTATTCTATTAATAATTACAGGTAAAGAATATTATTTAAGATACTATAATAATATTTTATATTCGTAGAATAAAATTCGATCTAACGTATTATCAATACAGAATTATAAATGTACTTATTGTTAAGTTGAGTTTATTACAAGATATTTTTTCTAAGGGTAAAGAATAATAGCAACATACAACATGAAAAAATAAATGATGATGAAATATTTTATGTACAAAGCGGCTATCGGTCTGAAATTAAACTAGCAGAAAAATAATACTGTAAAAGAGTAAAAATCTAAAATCGAGAGGGCAAGAAGAACTGCGATTTAATATTTACAATTTAAATGCATTGGCCTTTTAACTAAAATAAACCTGTACCTTAAAACTTACTTACACTAATTTTAATTACCTGTTTTGTATCTCGATTTAATAAAATGTTTAAATACAAAAAAGGTAACCGATTTAAATATTACAATAATTATCTCGCGTGTATTTTCGTATAACAAGTATTTACAAAAGTAATATTTATATTAAATTATGTGCAAAAGCAGACTATATAACGGCGTGTTGCGGAAAATAAGCAGCGATTGTAAGGGCGTTTATTATAGGTCCAAGCCTGAGTATTATCACCGTATCGAAGCTTCTGTAGGCTTTGATACAGAATTTCGCTTGCACGACTTCTGCACAGCTTCCCGGTGGACTGTTCCGTTAATAAAACGCCTCAGAAAACGTTGAATCTAATCAACATTTTTGAAGGTAACTTGCACTATATTGGTAATAAGTTCGCTGTTTCGATCGTAAATATTTAAACCGCATCAACACGCTTTGAATCTTCAGTTTAACTGTTCATAATCACTTTTACATGTGACATTAATCAAACAATTATCTATTAGTAACACTTTCTTATGAATTCACTGTCTGTAAAATCCACGGTACGAATTTTGATATTCTCGTGCAAACTCCTGGCAAATTTGCCTCACCGCATCCAATACCCCAACTTATGATCCCAGCCAGGAAATATCTATGATCTTTCCCTTTCACCTGCAAATGAAATTTTTATTAATTAGATTCGAATTATAAGTAATAATGAGCTACGTATAATTTATGCATATTTATAACGCCTTTATAAGTCTACATTTGACATGGATCTTTTCAAGTATGCATCAGCTAACAAGCGTTGGATGTATTGGTGGGAGCAGAGCCTATAATCTCGCACTCGTAATGCTGCTTCCCTTCTATTATGAAATTTAGGTTAAGTGTAATCACAAGTATATATTTTCATCAGTTAATCTTACATCATCATTTGATATTGGAGGAGGAATCATATAACTTTTAACTTTATCTTAAGTATCTAGCGTTAATTTGAGATAAACTCTTTTATCTAACATTTCTTTTAATTATATAAATCTTGATCTTCTATATTATTTTATCCAGCCACTATCTTGGGGAGAAGGACCTATCAGAAAACAATATATTAAACCAAATTTATCCCGACGGACAACAACGGTAGAAAAATAGACATATTTCCCCCTATTTTACCCCAGTAATAAATTAAGCTATATAATATCTTTATTTAAGAAATACCTTCATATAATAAAGTAAATTAGGAAGGTAAAAGTAGTTGCCAAATATGACTTCGCACACGTTTTGAAGGCACCATTTGGCAAGCTCTACGCTTTTGGGATATAACACAGTCTTCTTGAAACGTACACTGTAATAACTGTGGCTTGCAGCCAAGTAGAAAGAATTAAAACATGTGTAACTAATTATATGTGTAACGGTTTAGAATTTGGTTAGATTAGTGCTTTTGTTTTTTCATATTATAAATCCTCACAATATATTTGAGCTACCACGGTAGTATAAGCAATTTTATTCAGTATACTACAAAAATACTTATTTAAAGTCATAAAAGCTTTACCACTGGTTCGGACAAAAGCGTCTGTGCTGGGAATAACTAGCAAAAAACTACTTGAGCGATTTTCATTAACCACCTACTGAATAGTTACGTACTTGCAGCGGCCCGCCTGAGTCGCCTTGACAGGAATCATGCCCTCCTCTTTCGTGTCCGGCACAAAGAAAAATATCCGGAATGAATTCGTGTCGGCCAGCCCGCAAAAACATTGATTTGCAGCGTTCATTTGACACTATTGGAACTTGGACCTGAAATGAAAGTATTGAAACTACATGCATAAAAAATAACAACTTTTACAAAAGTCTAAATTAATCAATTTTATTGTCATCATCATCATTGTCACGACACAGCATATTGATATTCGTCTTCTTCTTTTTTCTAGTTATGTTAGTCTACATCTGTACAAAAGCCTCAGCTTTTATATCTTTTTTTTTTACTTTTTATAAACCAGTGTTTTACCACAATCACACCTTGTGGTAAGTAATGATACAGTCTTAGATGGTAAATCACACTGTCTTAGCGTAACAAATGTCTATTCACTCTTGCCTTGAAGACGTCCAGATTGTATTCGGACGGAAAGATAGACGCCGGCAAATTATTCTACGCCTTTGCTGTACGCATTAAATAGTCGAAGTAAACCGTTTGCTTCTAATACGTGGAATATCGACAACAAAGGGGTGAAGACCCACCGAGCGCCTGGTGTCAATGGTGGAAAGGAGGGGGAGGAATTAAAGCATACAGTTCCTACGCACACTCTCCGAAATGCATCCTATAGAATACCGAGAGTCTGGCTACTCTGCGCCTGTGCTCGAGGCTGACTAGGTTGGTTTCAACCAAATTCAGGTCACCAATGAGCCTCTTAGCACGTCTCTGCACTGAGTCCAACGCTGTCTGGTGGCATTTTGCAGCACCAGTCCATATGTGACGGCAGTATTCCATGCACGACCGGACTTACGCTTTATATAAGGTAAGGAGCTGTCTCGGCGTGAAGTACCGCCGTACCCTTACCTCAAAACAGCCCCAAGAACACCAAGTTGTCTTGGGGCTGTTTTGGCTCTGGACTCATTGAACCGCCCATAGCTGAGGTTCGGAGAAAATCCAACCCCTAACAACTGAAGGCGGTCAGTGTACTCCAAGGATACATTCCGGAAGTAGAAGCCAGGGTGAGCGGGCTCCTTTTTGCGGTGAAAAGATACGCTTGTGTTTTAAAGGCGTTGAGTCTCACGAGATTGGCATCGCCCCATTCGGAGACTGCCTGTAGTGTGAGATTCACACGCACAATCACAGCCTCTTTCTCGAACTGGATTTGATCTTGACTGGCCCGAGTACTTGGTTGGTATCCCCCCACAACTGTGCTATCGTCTGCATACCCATAAATACCGGGCATAAGCAGATTTTAAATATGCAGCATGAAGAGAGTTGCGGATAGAACGGACCCTTGAGGAACACCGGCGTCAGTCGCCATAGGATCGAATAAACAGCCATCGATGACGACTCGGAAAGACCGTTCACTCAGAAACTCCTTTATCCATTCAATCAGACCAGGGGATAAGCCGTACGCTAGAAGCTTACCCAAATACTGGCATACCAAACTCTGTCAAAGGCCTTCGAGACATCAAGGGAAACAGCAAGTGCTTCCCCACTGTTCTCAAGTGCCTCGCCCCTTACGTGTGTGGCACACGCTGGAAGGTCCCCAGCTGACCGATTTCGGCGAAACCCGTATTGCCGGTCACTAAGGAGGTCATTTCGTTCTAGGTATGCCATTAAGCGGGCGTTCAATATACGCTCCATAATCTTGCAGGGTATGGCGGTAATTGAAATTAGCCGATAGTTGGCAGGGTCGCCACAGCTACCTTTTTAAGGCACAGGCTGCATATTGGCCAGCTTCTAAAATTTAGGCACTATTCCAGTCCTGAATGTGAGGCGAAACAAGCGCGTCAACACAGGAGACAACTCAGGGACAAACCTTTAGAACTATAGCCGGTATACCATCAGGTCTACTAGCTTTGTTCACGTCTAGACTTCACAGGGTTTTAAGAACCTCCTTGTTGGTGATACGGACATCTATCATAGAGGTACCGCAGTGAGGTAATTGAGGTGGTACGCTGTTGCTACTATCCAGACGCGAATTGCAAGAAAAAGAGAAGCAAATAAATCCGCTTTCTCCTTAGAAGCATGCGCCAGTAAGCCATCTGGTTTTACCAGCAGTGTAGACCGACAGAAGTTTATCTCGGTCATTTTGGTGAGAGATCAAAAAGCTCTACTGCCAGATGGTTTGACAGAGAGCTTTGTACCTATGCGTTTAATGCGGTCGAAACTGGCTTGTCGTAACGCTTTTTTGTAAGACTTGGCAGCTCGGTTAAAGACTCTGTTCTTAAGGCTAACATCTGGAGCTTTGCGGTCTCGAGCATCGACCCAAGATAAGTACGCCATATGCTAGCTTTTCAGCACGAGCGCACTCGGCGTTGAACTATGGGCGAGCTTTACCACCAATGGAACACGTCAGCAAAGGGGATAAATACTCCATCGCTTGACGTATCACATCGCTTATGGTATCTGTGCAACTCGACGAATCTTCAGACGAGAAGCAAATTGTATCGCCACACTTGCCACACACCGTGGCAATCGTAGTTGGGCGGGGAATATAACGAGACAGATTTCACCAGACAGTTGTCAGGAGTTCCCAAGGGTGAGATAACCTGAACATTGTACCTGTCTGGATCGGTCGTAAGCAGAAGGTCGAGGCAGTTGGCTATGTGCCCATCCACATCAGGTACCCTAGTTGCTTGTTGTACCAGTTGGGAGAGTCCTAGTGACAAGGCAAAATTCCACGCCTCTCTCTCAGCGTGGTCAGTATTCTCGTATGGGAACAGCCAGTCCTGATGACAGACATTAAAGTTCCCCAGAAAAACCAACTTTGCATTAGGCTACCAATTTAGAGCCACATCAGAGGCTTCACTGAGGTGTTCAAATAGCCTAGTCGTCTCCTGGTCACCACTGTGCGATCGGTATACACAAGAATAAATAATTTTATCAATTCCTGTATCTATGAATACCCCAGATCATGAAGAAAGTGGGGTCTTCAAGGTGACGGAGACGCTTACAGCAGATGTCGTTGCGGACGTAAACGCAGACTCCGGCGCGCTGATGGAAATTATGCTCCAATGTGTACACAGGGTAGACAAGGTACGCCGCATCTAGAGGACATCTGATCTGCGTCTCAGTCAAGAAGTTACTCTTCTTTGCGCTGCTGTGCGGCTTGTCAGTCTCAAGGTGGTAATGGACTGCATTGAGATTACAGTGCAGGCCTCGGATGTTTATGAGGTCTGCCATAAAAAACCTAGCCATGCTATTAACATTACTAAATATTCCCGTTAACTGTTCCAGGTGAGCTTAAAATGCTTGTGCTAGGAGTATGTGTCAATCCCACGACTTTCTAGTTCGCGGTCCGCACCCTACCCGTAAGGCTACTGTCGTTTTGATTTTTTTTTTTGAAAAAGGGTGGCAAACGAGTACAAGGTACAAGCCGACCCATTCGTGCTACAACCATAATATAGCTGTAGCTTGGCTTTACTATGTCAAAAGTTTGAATTCAAAACGCCATATAAACTGTCATAGGCTACGAGTCCTTCTTTCGGGTTCCTCACACGTGATAACGCTTTTTTATTTTGATTCGTAATCAAGGATATGTGTACAAGTCTATGGGCCACAATAGCCACTTACCATCAGATGGACTGTGTACTCGTTTGTCATCCTTATCTTATAAGAAAAGAATTTCGGCAGGTTTCTAAGTGGCTAATGCAGCATAGACACCTGCTATCACTTTAAGCAAAGAAGAATACTAAAGCTAACTGTCTGAGGGCTAACGTAGGTTGCCTGTAACATGTAACAGCATGTAATTATAGCTCTTTGCTGTTAGAAATAGACAAAAGGGGAGGATTTGCCCAAACGGGCTTCTAAGCAGAAACGGGTCCAAACACCTAGTACTACACGACAAAAGTAAATATATCGTTAAAATAAAGTATACACACCTCTTGCAAAACCGATGGCAGTACTCCACCTTCTGAAAGTCTTCCCCATCCAGTAACTGTGGCGTTTTCTCCGACCAACAAATCATCAGTCGCCGGTAAACAAATAGGTGATATGTGAGGCGCAAACTGTACAGGTGAGTCCAACTTTACTAACGCCAAGTCGTACTCGTAAGTAAAAAAATTGTATTTAGGGTGTACAGCCTTTCTGGCCACACCACGTTCCACGAAAGGATATTGCTCGGAAACAGATGAAAAGTCGTATTCTCCAACTCGTATCCTTATCTGAGATGTCAAAAGGCTGAAAGAAAAAAATAGGTTTCTTTGTAATAATTATTCGGAGATTTTGAACGTCAAGTTAAGCCACTGCATGTATTTTTATATCATAAAATAGACCATAATAGCTAACATGATAACAAAAGTCTAGTGTGACCAATGTACACCTGCAACTAACTTCAATCTAAGGAGGATACAAGTTCGTTGTCATAGCTAAGGACTAAGATATAATGCTTTATAGTCGTTAATTATACTGTTGTTTAGTGACAGCAACAGACATAAGGTTTAAATTTATTTATTGCTCAGATAAATTACAAAATAAAACCTTTCCACTAACATAGTTTAATTAATTATCATTGTAATCGCAATTCATTAAAATGAATAATGAAAATGATCACTCCTACAAAAGAAATTAAATAAAGGTTTTTATAAATTATCCAAAATAAAAGTTTTTAATAATATTTATATTATTTCACACTATTTTAATTGAAAATTATTTGCAAAATACCATATCTATATTGGTTTTGCAACAGCTTGTTTCAATGTACTAAACGATGTTTTAACTGAATTACAGAATGAGTCTGACGTCATCAAATAAAAAATAAATTAAACTTACATATTCTTTATTGTTTTAAGAGAAATCTACCTATATGTATAATGATTGCGTGTATTTTTTTTTATTTATATAGAACAATTTATGTAGAATATATCTTCATGTTTTACTAATTATACTCCCTCCGTGTCCTAGACATTCTTAACAATTGTAGTACGCCGCATTCCATGCCAGCATCACAATTTATCCAAGCTCGCTAAAAAAATTTAAAGCAGTATATCTGGCAACACTGTATCAACCCGTCCGTCAATGCAACTTCATTACGTTTTTTTTGTGCCAGCCATCACGGTGTGTTTTTATAATTTTTGTTGTAAAAATTAAATATGTTTAGTGTAAAATCAAATATTTTGTATCCAAAACCTACTACAAATAAATTTATTACGTATCTGCGTGGTAATAATTTGATTATGTACTTGGGAAAGGAAGATATTCAAAATGGAGCCAATCGATCAAAGTAAACAAAAATCCTATTGTTCGAGGTAGGTGAACGTGTATATAAAATAAATAAAGTTAAAACATTTATTAAATAATAAAAACAGATTCACTGTGCCAGTTTATTAACAAGTATGATAAATTATCGAACAAATTCCCTATTAAGGGTTAATAACATAACCTCGTCACTCATATAATATGAAATAGTAAATAGGTATTTTAACCTATAAATGTGGGTTGAGATACATTATGCAGAGATACGTTGAGAAGTTTTAAGTGATATATATTAATGTTTTTCTTACTTTCATTTAGTCGCCGTTGTAGTAGTAGTTCGCAGTCGCCATTATCAGTCAGAAAATTGGGGCAGCAGACCCGGAAATTATATACCCTGAGACCCTTACAACTAAACTTTCTTTAGTATCAGAAAATCCTGATTATGAAAAGAAGTAAGTGCTATAAATAAACTTAACACGTGGGTTTATTAAGGTTATGTAAACCTTTAACGTCCACAAAAAATTGGCAGAACAAGTTAGAAATAATAACTGAATTCTGGAACAAAATTATCCAGTGTGTAAGGGAGAGTCAGTTACGAGTCCTTAAAATTGTAAAATTGTCCCAAACAAATGGGATTTAATAGATGCATTTTTAAATCTAAAGACAGTATATTATTACATATTATTTTGTAGACACATAAAATAAAAAATAAAAAGCTACATAATATGACACCCCTCTATCAGGCATTTGGGTGTTGGTAGGCCTATGTGCAGCTGTGGACTTTTATAGACTGCAATGGATGTATGGATAATATGACAGGAAAGTAAGAAAAAATGTAATATGACAACTGTTTTACCTTGATATGGAATATCAAAACGTTACAAGTTAAATACACTTAAAATATAACTGTAACGCAAAAAACTGAGTAAAAAATAATAATATTACTCAAATTATACCCGATATATTTGGCTCCACACGAATGAAACCAGATTTTACAGATAGTAAAACAAAAATAGTATTGTAAGCATCAGATTGAATTACAATAAATTGGTTAAATTATTAAAGGAATAATAAAAAGACAACAGATAGCCTAAAATTTTCATGACATAGAGCAATTTTAATAAACTCACTAAATGTAATTAAAAAACTCAGTAAAGAAGGTAAACAATAAATTATTATTATTGAGATAGTAAAACGAATATAATATAGAAATAAAGAAGTGTTAAGCATCATTAGGTTTTAAATAGAATGATGAGTTGCAAATACATTAATGGCCTACAGCGGTACATAAAATATCAATCTGGGAAAATATAAAACTTACATACTTCACTAATTAAAACAGTGGTAAATTAAACAATTAAAAAGAAATTTAAAAATAATTATAGGAAATAATTTTCTATTGTAAGATATTAAAAAGTTATGACAAGTTAAAAATAAGTAATATGTGAAGTAATAATTAAAAAATAAAATAAAGATGGATTTATTCAGTAAAATTAAGTATGGTATCATTCATACCTATCATGTTATTATTATCACCTGCATAACTAAAACTAGGCTTCTATTATGTATTCCTCTTAATATCGATGAGGCAAAAAACCATAGGTTTTTGTTTTTTTTTTTTCACATGAGAAAATATTTTGCAGTACTGAGATTTAGAAGCAATCAAATAAAGATAATTAATGGTATAGTTTTTATTACAAAGGGCTCAATATTATGAGTATAACATAATGAAAAACTTGTTACAAATTATAGATGTAAAAGTACTAGAAAGACTCACAAGGGTTTGGCAAAAGAAGTCCAAAAATTTGTCAACGTAAGAGAACCCCCACATGATCACCGGACATCAAGGTAGCAAAATATATCAATATACCAATGATTTAAAAGTTGGGCAAGACTATTCCCACTTTTGACATGCACGTAGTTTCGGACAGTATTGAAGAAATAGGAAAAGTATAATACTGAGGAGATAGGGATGCAAAAGCACTATTGAATTAAAACTGCTGTGAAAATATCTAACAGGAGTTATATAGATGCTATAAACAGACCGTTAGAACTGTCACTATATAGAATATATACATGGATTTATGTATATATAATAAAATAAGAACGAAAAATAATACTGGTAGATATTAAGCGGTGCAGAGAGGCAGAAGTAATTACTGTAAACTTAAAATTGTTGAGAGAATATCTAGCATAAGTTATTAAAATGCTATACATTAGAGCTGTCATTTATGAGGATAGACATTGTTAACTATTCAGACCTTACCGCTATGACTTAGAAGGTAGACAGGTCTTTACATATAAGATATACCATTAGTGGAAAGATATTAAGATGGGATAGGACTCAGAAGACATCACTGCAGGCTTTAAACCGTTAGAGCTATCACATAGAGGATAGACACGGTTGACTATTCAAACCTTAGAGCTAACACTTTGAGGTTAGACAGGTTTGAATTGAAAGCAATATCACTTGAAGGAAGACATTAAGATGGACTACGGCTCGGAAGAAATCACTGCAGGCTTTAAACTGTTAGAGCTATCACATAGAGGATAGACACAGTTGACTATTCAAATCTTAGAGCTAACACTTTAAGGTTAGACAGGTTTGAATTGAAAGCAATATCACTTGAAGGAAGACATTAAGATGGACTACGGCTCGGAAGTGCAGTTAAACTGTTAGAGCTATCACATAGAGAAAAAGTTGACTATTCAAATCTTAGAGCAACACTTTGAGGTTAGACAGATTTGAATTGAATGCATTACCACTTGAAGGAGGACATTAAGATGGACTATGACTCGGAAAAAATCACTGCAGGCTTTAAACCGTTAGAGCTATCACATAGAGGATAGACACGGTTAACTATTCAGACCTTTTAGAGCTAACACTTTGAGGTTAGACAGGTTTTGAATTAACATTAAAGCGCTGTCACTATATAGTAGTATATAGTAGTTTTTTTTTTCACATGAGCAGTAAATGTGAAATAATGAATTATTTATTTTGAATAAAATAACAAATTATTATTAACACTGCCTATATAAAGATAATCATACTACTGTGTCATGTTACAGTCATCTCATAGACATCTCATACACATCATTGGTTACTATTAGTGAAGTATTTTGTAAAATATGGCACTCCAAGATTCACTCCAAAATTAATACTAAGAATTATAGTGAACTCTCCTATGTCAAATACTATAAATCATAAAATAATAAAATAATTAATTCTTTATCGTACCAAATTGTAGTAAGTGTAGTGAAATTCTTTCCTGGGCTTTTGTGCCTTTTACTTAGGTTTGAGTTATAAAAATAGACTTAATAATATGTTACTTTTAGATTAATCACTACAGAATATTGCAATAAATATTCAGAAATTTACAAAAACTAGTAACAAGCTGAGCAGTGATGAGTTATAGGTTATAATATACATACATTGTCCTTCAACTAATATAACATTTATTCAAACGGGAGCTCAGATATATAGTTAAGATATAGATAGAATTTCACTTCAACAGTGTTTGCATGGGAAAAAATAAATGAGAAGGGGTTGAGCCTTTCTTGACACAAGATAGTGATAAATTTAACCCACTTAGAATAGTATTTCTTAAGTAAGTTATAAGATGTTAAAATTAAACTGGAATAGATATTTCAGATTGTTTTCTTTTTCAGTCATAATTCTTCCACAGGGCCCACTTCTGCTGCAATCAAGCTGGCCTTATGTGTATAAGGAAATGTTATGAAATAACGATAATTTATTTATGTTATTAATTTAAATTTACTATACAGGCAATACGTTCAACATTTTTTTATAAAATAAGCGAAATTGCAAATTTTCATTCATTGGTATTATAAATTCGCAACCCTATCTTCAAACATCTACAATTGTTAAGAATGTCTAGGACAAGGAGGGAGTATAATTAAATGGTTAAACGAACTTACCTTAAGTGAAGTTCAACCATAATTATACGAAGCTCCTTGTCCTAGACGGTACTCCCGGCCCAACCATCCCTGGGTTAGGGTTGCTCATCTAATTCCTTGCTTTAAACATAATGAAGTTGCATTGACGGACGGGTTGATACAGTGTTGCCAGATATACTGCTTTAAAATTTTTTTAGCGAGCTTGGATAAATTGTGATGCTGGCATGGAATGCGGCGTACTACATTTGTTAAGAATGTCTAGGATAAGGAGCTTCGTATAATTATGGAACTTCACTTGTAATTGTTTAACCATTTAATTATAATTCAGTTTTAAAAAATCTGTGTGTCATATATTATTCTCTATATAATATTATTGCTTAAAATATTATTATTTCTGATAATTACATTTCTTAAGTTTTACTCTTATTTATTTGTCTTTTATATTTTTGACATTGCTATAAAATGTTTAAAAAGTAAAGTCTACTCAAAAAGTTCTTTATTTTTTTTATTTTTTAGGTTAATCATTTGTAAAAAAAACTGTTAACTAGTTAGGAAATTACTGTTGAACACAGAAACTACCTATTGTGGACACTAGATAAAAATATTACTCTCTTTTGCTCGGTTAGTCTCGCTGCAGTTTATCTAAACAACGAAGCATCTTAAAGATAAGTTAATGAAGGCCTATGTACACTTACTATGCCAAGGTACAAAGTTAATTAAATTATAAGTTGCTAGCTGATAACCGCTCGATTCGCTGGGCGCTTGGATATATAGTTTTAGAAAACTCGTGATGAGTCAATCAGTGGTATTTCATATAAACGTATATATGTAAACATATAAGCGAAATAGATAAAACTAAGTTTAGCTACAACTTAACTTAACAAACGACTACAACGGCAATAAACTTTCAGCGTGGGCAATAAATATAAGGTAAACAATTTACAAACAAAAATATCTTATATTTAATGTTATTTGCGAATTGCCAACGGAACTGGAATGAACCTAGAGATGCATTACAGAGATTAAAAATTTGAAATACGCTCCACTTGGCCCATCTGTGCGAGAACAGTGCCGAAATTCACGAAAATCTGCGAACTTAGACCATAATATTTTAAGTAAACTGTTCTTTTATATTTTGTTTGTGATTTTTATCGATATTATACGCATAGAAATAGGCATTACATTACTTTCTTTATGATATCATATTTTCATTACTATCTGCCTCTTTTGAGTTTGACTTATTGAAAGTCACTTTTTTCATTTACCACTGGTTCGCAAAAAGAAACCTCTGTCTAGGGAAGAACCAGAAAGAAAACCAGCGGGACTATTTTTTTTTCAAATAATAGCTTACAATCACGTTTACAATTAACAACACAAGACAAATTAGAAATAGCTTGGTAGCGATCACCCTTCCCAGAGGTTATTATCATCCATAAATTCCTTAATATTATAATAACCCTTTTTATACAAACTTAGTTTAATAAAATTTTTGAACTTTGCGTATGACAAATTTTGTATATTTTCTGGGATTTTGTTGTAAAAGCGTATACATCGCCTCAAGAATGAATTACTGACTCGGTGGAGTCGAGTAACTGGTACTACTACTACTACTGGTAGCTTGTGTCTGTTCCTAGTATTTACAGAATGAATATATATATATATATATATATATATATATATATATATATATATATATATATATAATGTATAATGTATAAAATTGTAATATATGATATTATAGTTAAAAATGAGCTTGAAATAAATTTTTAGAGTCACGCTGCAGAGCCAAGGGTTGATCCGGGCGGGGAAGCCTCACGATCGCACAGAATCCAATCATAATGATGTTGTGTGGCACTACCAAATTCTATTAAAAATAAAGTTTCCCATTAAAAGTAACCTTTATAAGCCTAACAAAAGTCAGTTGCGAGCGTCCTTGGGCTGCAAACGCCAGGTTAATCAGGTGGACAGTGGGTTCATTTGTCACTTCAGCATTTGTTTTTCAATATTCCAGCCCAATACAATTCCACTGTAGTGGTAAAATTAAAAATTTTGTACAGCCGACTTCAATACGACGGAATCAATGTATTGAAAGTCAATTAAATACGCATTATTTGAGCACAACTCAAATACACGAGAAACATCAGCTTTCAAATAAAAAAAAGAATCATCAAAATTGGTTTACCCATAAAAAAGTTCTGAGGTAACACACATAAAAAACATGTAGTCGAATTGAATACCTCTTCCTTTTTGAAATCGGTGAAAAGGGATCGTATCACTAACAGAATCATTGTGTTTTACAAGTATACAGATAATTTTTTTAAATGTTTTTGAGTGTATTTACAGTAACCATTTTCTCGTCGGTTACCTCGTTCCTTTTTGCCAATCCTATATTTAAAGAAATGTTCTTGTGAAATGTATACGTCATGGACCAAGTAATTAATCAGGGCATTGTTTATAATGCCCGGGCAATATGAATAATGACAAGTCAAATCGGGCTACAAAATTAATACCGATTTAAATGTTGTTATATATCAAATGATCTTTTTTTACATGGGGCAATACTTCTGCATACTCACGAGTGCAAGGATGGGTTATGTCGAACTCGCACCGGCTAACACACCATGTTGTTCTACCTTCACCGCATATTCGCAGGGCCACGGTAACGCTTTCTCATTTATCCACGACCCAACCGGCTTAATGCACCCCATGGCAGCCCCTCCTCGGGAGAGGACAACTTCTCCCCTTTTCCTTATCAAGTAAGGCGCATCGAAAACACGAGGCGTGCCTTCCTCCGCGGCCTCTAAATCATCATAACCTAACCTAACATATATTTCTATTACTCTGTCCAACAATTATCGGAGTTTATTAGTGATGCAACAGAACTCTGTTTCTGTTTCCGCAACTGCGGAAGTTCTGCATGGTTTTAACATTCGTTTCTGCTTCTGTTTCCGCAAGTTTTATAACGGAATTTTGGACGGAACTCAGCGACGCATGCACATAAATAGATTTATTGTATTTTTAATTTATTACAAATTTAAGTCGTGTGTGTAATTACAATCATGAATCCAAAAACAAGTGCCGTTTAGAACTATTATTTTGAGATTGATGATTAAGCAGCCAGATGTAAATTATGTGACAAAATATATTCGCGAAAAGGCTGCACAACTACCGCTTTAAAGAGGCATCGCTAAGTGTGAGAAGTTAGTTGAAACTGTAAAACTTTCATCGCAAACTAAAAAACAAGTCGTCAGTCAAGGAATTACATACCAGATTTTAGTTAAAACGTGTTTTCTCCAGTTAAAAAAAGTTTTTAATAAATGCCTTTATTTATAACTTAGATTTGCAAATTAATTAGTTAGCAGTTATGTTTGCGTGAAGTTTATATTATTTATTTTTTACTTGAAGTATAAATTAATTATTTTTATTGATTAAAACCACTTTTACGGATTTTATCGCGTTTATTTATGTTATTTTTAATAACCGACGTTCGGGTGCTTTCCAAGAAATAATTATTTTTAAAGAAACTTTAATGAGTATTTTGGATTCAAAGTTTATTTACGTCGTACTTTCGTGTTAGGGCTTTACTAAATTACCTACTAGCTAAACCTAAATGTGGCTCTTTAAAGGGTTTGCCCAAATTTCAGTGCCTATTTAGCTTTGGTGTATAGGTGGTACGCAGCATTGCCAGTGAGCAATAATTGCTATAGCAATAATTATTATTTTTCGGAGCTGGACTTATATATGAAGAACACTGGAACAGATTGTTAGGTGTAAAGTGGCCGAACTACTTTTCATAAAAATATAACCGCTAAGTATTTTAATTTGAATATAATTAATGTAATTTAAATTATTTCCGTTACCGTATCCGTTTCTGTATCCGTTTCTGCAAAAAAAATATTTTTAACATCTTTTTCCGTTTCTGCTTCCGATATGATACTTCCGTTGCATCACTAGTTTATTTATAAAGCCCGATAAATTTAATTATTTCTATCGTTTTTGTCATATTGCCTTGTAATATTGGGCATTTAAGCTATCTGGGCATCATGAATAATGCCCTATTAATTACTTGATCCATAACATTTATAAAAACTATCTCACTCATCGACACAGTGTCCTGCCGTTGCTATCCAACCCTCATTGATGATAGCGCCTCCACAGCGGTGCGTGGAGGAAAACCCGAAGAATGAGTTACGTCGCACTGAGACTTGCCACGGCCATCGACCGAAGCTGGAATCTTTGCCGCCCATTATACGCATCTCAGGACGCGGCCACATTGCTGTTACTCCGCACTCTGAAATGTAATGAAACGAACCTATGTACCACAAATAAAGAATTGACAAGTCAGCAGTAAAACCCCACGTCTCCGATTCGGATTCGAGGTATGCAATAAAAGCAAAATAAAACTACGATTCAATCATAAACAATGATAATAGAATTTTACCAAGTGACATCAATCACAAATATAAATAAGGAAGTAGTACCTAGCCGACCGAACTTTACTCAGCGTTAGAAAAATAAAGTGATTTTCTCAAGAACGACATTTGGGCAAACTTGGAAAGTAGGTACATTATCTAAATAGCCATTAAAACTTTCATGTATCGTTAAAGCCTGAAAATATTTAGAGCCGTTTTCGAAACACCAATTTGTTTGAATGTTTTCTTAATTCTTTCTCAAAGTGGTGCGAACTAAAAGTGGAGGATCACATTAAACATGATTATATTGTTTCCACGTTTAGAAAGGTAAGTACACACATAAAAAATTGAAAAGTGGTTTACTTATCTAGACAGAACTGTTATACAGCTATAATCCTGTCATATTTAATTTAAATCACTATTAATAATAGTATATAAGAGAGTATATAATTCAGAAGGACTCAAAGGCATTTAATCGTTAATCCTAACCAATTCAGTTAGAAATATGTTACCTTAATATAAAGTAAATTGAATAGACCGAGTGCGTGAATCTTGATAAAATAAGTATTTTAGGGTAAAGGGAAAGGTCACCACATTCTGAGGACACTAAGAAATTGACAGGGCGGGGAAATTGTGCCAATCAGAAGGGATTGGAGAAACTGTCAATTTCGTGGCCGAAGTAAATGTAACGGGGAACGATGTCAGAAAAAAATTGTTATTTTCAAATGAGATTGAACTTTTATTTTAAAAAAATATTTAGATTATAATATTATTATTGCAATGTTATTTTTATTAAAGTCACAATCTGAATACGTCCCTCTAATAGACTCAGGTATTTATTTAATAGATTATGGGTGTGACAAAACAAGCACACCATCCACCTGATGGTAAGAAGATGCAAGCACACAGTTTAACTTATGAAAAGTGGATGCAATAGCCCATAGACACCTTCATCCATTCTCGATTAAATTAGATAGATGCAAAATAATGCCTCGTTGCCAATAAGTAGGGTCTCCGGTGCCCACCACTCAACATAGGCACAGCAGTAGCATTACGCTGTTACTATACGCTGGTATTCTGTGAGAGCGTGGTTCTCGCTTAGCCGAGCCGATCTATTTGTACTGTAATCGAAGAGCAGCAGCATGGGTCTTCCTCGTAAAAATCTGGGTCTTCTCATTTCGTCTTATTTCTGTGAGAGTTCTAGCGCAAGGAAGAGTTCTTGCCCAACTAAGTAAGGATTTCACAAGTCCCCGTAACATTTTTAATTTACTTAGACGATTTTCTCTATGATATTTTCATAAATCGCCGAGCACGTGGTAAATCAGCAATTAAATATCCATTATTTCATTGGTGCAGGAAAAACTCGTTTCACGAACGCACTTTTTTATAAAATTTAAGTGAGAAATGAAATTACTTTTTATTTTATTTTTTAATTTATTTATTAAGGAACAGCAAACAGCTATAAATTTCAGTAATATTTTTACTGAAATTTATATTACTAAAACACAATAACATAATGTATTCAAAATGATGTAGCCCACAAGGCTATCCACATATTACAGTCCAACTGCTGGTAAGTGGCTACTGCGGCCCATGTATACCTGCAGCTAACTTCTAAAAAAGAAGGCAACAGATGCGATGTCACCTCGGAGGACTAGAAGCGCTTTACACACGTTCCATCTTGCTGTACAGTTGACTTACGTTAAATGACGAACGACCCACTCACTGTGAATGGTCTGGCTCGAGTCACAGCAAAATGGACCGTGTGTTAGTTCCTTAATAATGTAATGTCTCATAGTTTTTTTATTTTTTTGGTGGCAGTAATAGATAAGAGGTGGTATCACCAATTTTTTACGTGGTAGAGCCAGCTAAGAAATCTGCAGCTATATTATAGTTGTAGCACGAATGGGTCGGTTCAACCGGGGCAGGACGACGCTGTCACAGAATACCAGCCTAAAATAGCAACGTAATGCTGCTGTGTTTCGTATGGTGAGTGTAGAGAATCGGAGACCCTTTAAATGGAGTGGCATTTACATATCGATTTTTAATGGAGGATAAATATGGATGTCTCTCTATAGCATCCACTTACCATCAGGACTGACTGTGTGCTCGTTTGTCACCGAATGCTATAAAAACCTAGTATTATTACATGTATCTTACCCTCCGAACTACAGAAGCATATACATACATAAACACTCACGCCTGTCACCCAGAGGGGTAGGTAGAGACCACAAATTTCCATTTTTGCACGATCGTTACACACCTCTCTCGCCTCCTTTATATCTATCTACTACGCATACATACTAGTCGGTTAAGGGTACTCTTAATCAGGCACATCTTTAATTTAATGCCAATTTGGTAGATAGACTTTCGTCTAGGGCGTCCCTATTCATACCAATCTATACTCACCAACACTATTAGTCGCGGCGGTCGTTTGCATCGGAGACGGTGTAGCCTCATCAGTATTGTCGATTGCATTCAGCGAGGGGTCTTTTGGTTTTATATAGTTTTTATGTGGCTTAATTGTAGTTGTCGTGAATTTTTTCGTCGGCTTAGGTTTTCCGCCGGGCTTCTCCCAGTTCGAAGGTCTCGTTTTTGTTATAAATGAAGGCTCAGTAGTCACCTGCCAGTGCATAGTGTTGACATTGCTTGGTCTTGACATGAGATGTGCTGGAAATGTGTTTTTAAAGAAATATATATCATAAAAATTACATCTACGTATTTATCAATTTTCATAATTGACACATCTGGCCCACAGTTCGTCCTTCACTCCTAGCCGTTAGAAAAAGCTATAGATCACTCATCGAGCTATGGAGAGGGCTATACTCAGAGTTTCTCTGCGTGATAAACTTCCTAATGATGATACCCGCAGTAGAACCGGAAGAACATAGCACGACGGATCAGCAAGCTGAACTGACAATAGGCCATTCATATAGCTCGAAGAACTGACAACTGGGTTTCAGCCTCGTACCGGTAAGAGATATGTTGGGCGCCTCACAAGAGATGGAGTGACGACTTGGTAAGAGGTGCAGGAAGTCGATGGATATACTAGCTCAGTACCGTGCTTTTTGCATTCCTTGGAGAAGGCTTATAATCAGCAGTGGACTTACTACTACTACTGGAGATGGGATGTTATCATGATGATTAACACCTTTACTATCCGGTTCCAGATACAATAGTAAGACAATAGCAATGGACCACATGTGGTTCGCGGGACATAGAATGTGTTAAGTCAGCCAATAAAGTAGCGATAATTTACTGTATTTAAATTATACATAATATGTTTTAATAATAAATACTACGATAACGCCCTAAAACAAGCGCCCTGTATAATAAGTAATATAGGATACATGCGCGGTGCATTATGCAATAGAAGGTCACGCAATAACTAATAAATAGTAAGTGTATTTCTTTTTTCTCACTACACCCTCATATTTGTTATTGCCGGTGATACCGGTACACGGTAAAGTTTCTATAAACTTATGATTGTACCGTAAAGTAATGTGTTATTAATGAATGTAATAATATATTAAAAAATAAATAAATAAATAAAATAATTAGGCACCTTGTAACAAAACATCTATATAAAATCAGCATTTAGGCAAAACATAAATAATGATGTTTTATCATGAAAGTAAAAATGATCCTTTATTTATAAAAATTTTAAACAGCAATCCTGCTTTTTTGAACCTTACAATCGGTAAACGCCTAATTGCGCATTACTTCAACTTGATGATCTTGTTTTATACTTAGTTTTTAAAGGAGCCGTTAATTAAAAATAGGCGGTAGGAGACATTTGTGATGGACTATGAAAATGGGTGATGGGCTATGAATATGGGTGATGAAAATGTATTTCGATGTTAGAATAATATGTAATCTTTACAAATAAATAAAATTGAAGTGTTTGTTTCTCATATCAAAATAACAGCTTTTTACAAAATATCAATGGAAGTATATATTACATACGAAACATTTAACACAAACACAATTTTTAAAATTTTTGTCTGTTTGTTTGTTTGTTGAAGGGCAGAAGGTTTGTTGAACTTTCATTGGCAGATAGCTGATGTTATAAGGAGTAACTTTCCAACTTTTATTTTAGAAAAGAATTAGGGACCGCGCAAAAACAAACAATAAACTACATGCGGGGAAGTCGCGGGGAACAGGTAGTAATAAATACGTCCAAATAAACAAAAGTTTTAATAAATAAACTGGATAAAACAATATAAGTTCCAATTTGGTAAGAGAAATACATCACCACGTTTCACGTACATGTAGAAAAGGAGGTGAGCGACTTTGGGAAATGTCAGGAAAAGCTCATGAATTCCGATAGATGGCGTTATTTTACGGCGGTAAGCATCTAGATTACATCAGACGTAAAGTACCATGACCGGCAACAGAAAGCAGTGTCTTATAGGCGAAGCGTCTGGTACTGATCCTCAATTCGCCTACCAAAAGTGACGATTAATGCAAATCCTATTTATATTTTTTTATTCATTGTTTTAGAGGACTGTCGCTGAGTCGACCACATCGTCCCGTTTTGACTAAATTACTAATCACAACAATCGAATTACAAAATTAAAAAATTATCATAGTAGGTAGGTACCTAACAGAAGTTCTGTGCAAGGAATACGCACGACTATAAGTAATCACACCCAAGGGATAAGTGGAATTAGGTCAGGCTAGCTTGACCAGCTTTTTAGTTTCCTCAGACATTGGATAAGTCAAATAAGCCAAATCTTCTTACACTGGAGACCCATTGTACATTTGTACATACTGTAAATTTCCAGGTTGTTGAAGATATGAAAGAAGTCTCTATTATATTTTATAGATTACTAACGATTCACCCCGGCTTCGCACGGGTGATTTCTGGATCTCGACAACCGCGCCACATACCGGGTCCAATTTTTAATGAATTCACTCAAACACAAAAAAAATTGATTTAAAAATGACAAACACACGTACAGAAGAATTTATTGTAAAGATAATTTCATTAATGATACAGGTTACCATAATTGTAGGTATTTTAAATTCTTACCTGAGGAAATACTGTTTCCGGAGTGTTGTTCAGATGCAGCCATAGGCCGTGCGCCCGAAATTATGCTAAGACTAGACGAAATTTTGTTATGAGGACTAGTTTCCATTTCGCCATTCGGCCTATTTACATTTTGGTACTTATTTACACTGTTATAAGATATTTTATTAACTATATCACTATTTTGTTCGCTACTTGATTCTATGCTTAGTGAGGGTAAATTTAACTCAGGCGGCCGATAGTTGTAAGATGTTGGAGCGCCATCTATGGGCTTTGTCATAAACGACGGCCGTTGTGTCTGCGAGGTAGGCCGTTCGGATGGCTGCGTTGTAGTCTCCGTTGGTTGTAATGTGCTGTATGTATTGCTTGGTGGCGCTGTATACGGCCGATCTGTGACCGTAACAGGGCTTTGTGTTTCTGAAAATAATTTATGTGGTATTAGAATTTTATAATGTTATGTTATTTCATTTTGTGATTAAACTTTTACAATGTACTATTTTCCTTAATTAATCTGAATATTTAAATATTTACAAATTTTTAATTACTAAATTGGCACCAAATCGGCACGCAATAATTGGCGTAAAGAGCAAATTTAGTTCTCAATACTGTGGAGAGATGGCTCTGCTTGAGTAATGAAATGGACATCAATAATATAATAACTATTTTACCGAGCTTTTATTACTAAGAAATAAAAATAATACCTTCTATTATAATAGGTTTGTCCGGTAGTCGACAGCAAGATCCGAACATGAAGCCATCGACGCACACTCCTACATGCTTTCCACCCACACGGTTGCATTCCTGTACCCACATACACGCACCCCGCGCCACTCCTACTGAACACGACTTGCGCGACATCTGGTAACCTGTAAAGAAAATATAACATAACTTTAGAAAAATATTTATTTATTAATGTACTAATGTTAATACTGCCATCTGTTGTAAAATTTCTGAATGTTTAGTTTTTTCATGGGAGCGAGTAATTTTCTGTCGCATAAAATAAGCATAAGTTGCGATGGAATTATAATAGATGGCAGTAGGTACAGAATTTTTGATAAACTGGTGCTAATAAAATAACATATTTTTGTATTGTCGATAATATATTGTCACAATCAGGAAAAAGGTATTTTAAGAATATATTCAGGGCAACGTAGAGTTGATGTTTGTATTGTAAATGGTATGGAGTGTAGAAGTAAGGAGTACAAACTGTGTGGACGACTTTTTAGAGGCTATATTTACTAAATAAAATTATTTTAGACTTTAGAGCTACTGAGCAGTTTAGCAGCACACTTAAACCGTCGACAACTGCTAAGTTTATTTCATCCCAGTAGCTACTCCAACGCTGTTGTGGAGAGTTTTTGAACTGTTATTTACTGCTTACAAATGGTCACTTTTTCAACTATTCTACTATGGGAGTTGGTACTCCTTGCTTCTACACTCCATATTAAATGGGTCTGTACCACAGATAACTATATGCTAGTCGGAGAGTCTGTGCCGTGCTATGTGGTAATTTATGGGCGAGGCCTATGTTTAGCAGTGGACTTGTGATAGGCTGTAAAGATGATGATGATGAAAGTAACAGTCCACATTTGCCACATTACTGGGTAATCCTATTTTAATTATTGAGAAAGTTTTAAAGAAAGAGCATGCCGCGCTACCTCAAATTGTCTTAACTCATTAGCTGTCCCGTGTACTACATATAGTTCATTGCTATTGTCTTACTATTGTGTCTGAAAATCGGACATTTAATGTTAAAAAGGCCCCGAAATATTTTTTTTAATTTAATACTTTCACTGATAGGATCCCGATTTATCACGAGATATTTTTTTTGCTGCTCGCGGTAAATCAAGCACGCGACATTAAAACTGCAATATGTTAATAAACAATTTAATAGGTGCAGACGGGGATCGAACTCGGTTTACTCGCGTTATAAAACGAAGTCTATTCCCTGACCTGTCGTCTTGGCTTAGCTATCATATTAAAAATATTAATTAATTCGAAATAATAATATCAAAAACTTTTTTTAATAACACGACGGCATATAGCCTTACTAAAAATACATTTACTATACCCACAATTTTAGGCAGTCGGGTTATGACAACTGATAAGTGATAATGCGTGATTGGCTGGTGTCCAGAGAGTACAATAAAAGTAATACGATTTCGGTTATGTTTTTCTTGTATGTATTTTCAGCTATAAAGTAGTCACCAGAGCCTTTTTTGTTTTATAAAGTTTGTATTGTAAGAGGGAACACGCCAATTTTGCCCCTAAACTCCTAAATAACATTATAAACGTTACAAAAAAACAATAAAATAATAGCCCCTGAAGTCCCCCACCCCCTCAAATTCTGATGCTATATATTATGCGGAAATTAGGTATTTATAATTTTTTTCTCGGAATTTATATGAGACCACCCCTAAAGACATTCAGCCATGACAGCTCAGGAGCTAAGCACTCTTTGTAAATCTCACAGTACACGAGCAATCCAGGTTCGATTCCCGCCGGGGCAACGCAGCGGACATTTTCTTGCCCTAAAACCCTTTTAGAAATGAGAAGAGACCTGCGCCCACCAGTGGACGTATATAGTCTGTAACTTTAACTCTTACAAAACAATTTTACAAAAAAAACAACATAAACTCGAAGTGAGAACCTTCTCTTTTTTGAAGTCAGCCAAAAATTCGTTTTTTAAGCTATTGCATAGCTTCTATCGCGGGCCTTGAGCGCGGGGACCGAATCCAGAAATTCATTCCGTAACGAAAAAACCTCACGCTCTCCACTCCGACTGGCACGGAGGTGTGGCTTGAAGGCCGCGCATCGTCTAACGTCGTTTCAGTTCGGCAGACTTCGGCACTCGGCAGACTTCGGCACGGTGTTTGTGTGCGTGCGACTAGACGTATGCGTCTACACTAGCTGCTAACTCAATGATAAAAATTCCTGAATAACCTACATGTATTGTAAGATATTAAAAATAGTAGTATTTTTTGCATACCACCTTGAAAGTTAAAATGTTTGTTCGATAAAATCATTTTACGTATAAAATGCAGTAGATGGCGATATAATGAATTATTATTTTACTGTTTACACCAAAGAATACAGTTTTAATTTATTACACTTAACTTCTTAAAATAGTCTTATATTATGCTTGTAAGCGTACGAGACATTGTTATACTTAATAGGTTTAATTAGTTCTACACAACGTCCATTCTGTACTATTTCATATAGTATTTTATGAGAGCGTGGTCCTTCCTCGGACGAGCCTGCCCATTAGCGCTACGACTGTACTACTAATATAACTGGAGCATGGCTCTACCACATATAAAACTATATATACACTTAACTTCGCAAAATAGTCCCATATTATGCTTGTAATCGGACGAGACATTGTTATACTTAATAGGTTTAATTAGTTCTACACAAGGTCAAACACTAAACTTGAATTAATTTCTTTAAAAAATGTACAGTATCTACCTAACATCTACGCACCTATATAATATTTTTGTTACATTACTTTTTATACACAAAAACAGTTCAAACTTAAAAACCTATCATAAAACGAAAAAATAATTGTTTAAGTAATCTAAGTATCCTCAAAATCTCATAATATAAGAAGGATATATAAGTATATATCAATAGAATTTAGCCTGCGAGAAAATGAAATAGAACATTATGCGTACTACCTTGGGAGTTAATCAATGTTTTTTCGATAAAATCATTTTACGTATAAAATGCAGTAGATGGCGCTATAACAAATTATTATTTTACTTGTTTACTCCAAAGAATACAGTTTTAATTTATTACAATTAACTTCTCAAAATATTACCATATTATGCTTGTAAGCGGATCAGACATTGTTATACTTAATAAGTTTAAGTAGTTCTACATAATGTCAAACATTAAACGTGAACTAATTTCTTTAAAAAAATGTACAGTTCCTACCTAATATCTACGCATCTATATAATATTTTATGTTACATTACCTTATATACACAAAAACAGTTCAAACTTAAAAAACTATCATAAAATGGAAAAATTATTATTTATGTAATCTAAGTATCTTTAACCCTTAACCACCTAGCGTCGGTCACAGTAACTCCAGGCGATATATTTTTAAGCTATTGCATAGCTTCTATCGCGGGCCTTGAGCGCGGGGACCGAATCCAGAAATTCCGTAACGAAAAAACACCTCACGCTCCCCACTCCGACGAGCACGGAGGTGTGGCGTTGAAAGCCGTGCATCGTCTAACGTCGTTTCAGTTCTTCGGCAGACTTCGGCACGGTGTTTGTGTGCGTGCGACTAGACGTATGTGTGTACACTAGCTGCTAACTCAATGATAAAAATTCCTGAATAACCTACATGTATTGTAAGATATTAAAAATATTTTAAACAATATTAACTTCTCATTTATTCAATAAGAGAAAAAAATTGTTTTCTTTTCAGTCACCACGCTCAAAAAGTGTAACTTGATTTAATATCAAAGACTTCGCAAATAAAATAAATAAATAATTATAATTGCATAAGTTGATAAAAAATGCTATGCAATAGCTTTACCGCGGCAGTCACCGAGTGCCACACGTATTTTTTTAATGTAAATAATATAATATGTAAGTATTTTATTTATGAAATTATGAAAAATTTGAGGCAGAAATTAAGATTAATTCGGTGCGATAAATTGCAATTTGAGATAAAATTAATTGGGGCGTGCCTTTTGTTCGGGATTTTCAATTACCCATCCGCCTGTTTCATTCGATTCGAAATTGGACTCGAAGTCATTACGTATCCTGTTCAATGTAATGCGAAATAAATCAATTTGTTCACCAAATATTTATGCCCAAGAGATAAATAGGTAGAGCCATGCTGTAGCTATGTTATGATTGTAGCATGAATAGGTCGGCTCGATTAGGAACGGACCACGCCCACAGAGAATATCAGCGTAAAAAAACAGCGATACTCTTTCTAAGTTTAAAGAACTGGAGATCCTTTTTATTGACACGAGGCATTCCATCTTAGTCCTCAGGGGTCTCAGCTCATCTGCATTTTGATTCCTAATCGAGGATAGACGTAAATGTAGCTTCCTTACTTCTCTCTTCTCTCTCTCTCTTTTTTAACGTTACCCCTACACTAAAATTTTCTCTTGTATCGTGGGGGCAGTTTACAAACATAAATTGCACAAGGACAAACATCCAGACCCGGAATAACTACTTGTAGGCCATACAAATACTTGTTCCGTGCGGGATTCGAACCCGCGACCCCCAGCTCAGCCTCACTCATTGCTAAGCCACTGCGCCACAGAGTCACTGCGTCGTCGTCAGGTGGACTGTGTGCTCGTTAGTCACCATTATTCTATAAAATAGATGCAATATTTACTTTCACGACAACATACATTATTTTCTTGAGTCGACATAATGTAATTGAAATTTACTAAAATATCAGTTACAACATTTAAGAATACCAAAACCTAAGGTATTAAGGGGAACTATAATCTCAAATGGCTTAGCAAGATCCTTCGTTATGCCGAAAATATTGCAGCATTAATTTTGAAATAAATATATGGTAAAGTTGAGGATTAATGTTAAGGATTATGTTGACGAAAACACGATTTCGTAAAATTTTCTCGATAGAAAAAAATCCAAAGTTACCTCCATAATGAACAATAAACCGCTGTTATTCATAAAATACTTTAAATAAGATCATGAAACTTTGCATACTAACTGAACTAACTATAAAGCAGTGCTTATGTTATTTACTTTTTTTAAAATACCATTATTTTCACTGTAAAAAGAAATTACCTAAACTATCGGCCTCTTGAAGCGTGATTTCTGCCGCACGGTCACTTCATTTCGCTTCGGCCTTTGTAGGAGGAGGTTG